TAATGAGGTCAACGAATTGGAGACAGTTTCTTGAATGCCGTTCTCTAGTGTTCTGGAATTCGCCACGTAGCACTGAAATGTGGTCTACACATGAACCACACTATATGCAGCCTGATTGGTTTCATTGTTCACCCAGTGCATATCAATATATCTAGAGTAGCACCTGGGGTTGTCGTGCTGACTTTGACTTTGATTCATTGTTCAGCTGTCACACAGATCCTTATCAAAATCGATACACATCATGACAACAGCAGTATCGCCTTTATTTGCTGACGTGCTGAAGAAGGGGTGGTTTTTCTTCCTGTAGATGCTCCAATGCCTGATGTTGGCTGCTGCTCATATTAAAGGAATTCTAGTCTTGATGTAGTGGTGCAGGCGATATCGTGTGCCTTTTCAGCCAACTAGAGAATAAATCACAATATCGTACATTTGGTAACTCGAGTTGAGTGGCCAAACACAAGGGCCATCTCCAGATATTTCCTCTGTCCCATGGTTGAAGTATGTTTATGTGCATCTCAGAATGCATTCATGTTACAAAAGTACAAATGAGGTGTAATTTCAATCGCACATATGTGTGTTGGTTTGCTGTGACGGACTACTCAGACATATTTCCACTAGTGTACTCCCACGTGAGTTTGATGATCTCCAATTATAGGATGATTCGGTGCAAATACAGGCCACTGTGTGTGTAAACGTCTTATCCAGTCTATAAGGTGTCAATACACTAATAGAATTTCATGCTGAAATTAACGGCCTACAAATGTTCATCAAATACCCCTTGCGCGGATGAGAATTTCACTACGATATATCTTTCGAGAGATTGTTTTCGAGTGACATTTTGAAGAAGACGCTTATATCTTTCAATTGGTCATTGGGTGTTAATGTAATTTTGCATATTCTGTCTGCATGAAATTGTACTAACGACCGTGTCACCGTGAGCGAAAGATAATCAAGAAATATCTCAGAATACGCAGTGTCTTCTCACCTCGTACTTATTCTATTGCTATATCTCACCCTCTGTAGTTTGCAGACTAACACAGGCAGATTCTTGATTTTATACACATAGGTGGGCAACTGTGCATTTGACTAACAAATCGGACCTTGTTATTAGTATTTTATTTTTCATCAACCCTCTCCGTCCTCTTTTATCTCTATAAGACCTGGCCATTGAGAGTGAAAGACATGAAAAGATTAGCTGTCCTTGATCATAGCTGCCTGTGTTCTATTTCCCGTGTGAAGTGGTATGAAAGGGGGAGCAATATTGAGGTAAGGCATCGTGTTCTAGTTAAGCAGGGGAAATCAATCGACGAGACCGTGAAGTTACATCGAGTGAGATGGTTAGGACATGTGATACGTATGCATAGTCACCGCCTTACTCGACGGGCAATGTAAGCTGACATAGGTTCAGGCTGGAAAATAGCTAGCAGAGGTAGAACGAAAACACGACAACAGTCAATGAAATCCACGAGAGTTAGTTAAAGCCAGACGCATAGGGAGGTGTAGACTTCCTGGTTGAGGCCCTCGGGATGGTGAAAACAAATGGTTGGAAACAATTGGTGATATGGCTCAATAGCTGGCTGGCGTAGATGCATCCACTCCTTGTGACTTATCATTTTCAATGAAACTATTTTGATCTTCGTTATTGCTATTTCTTTGTTCCACACCTCTGCTTACTGTCTCTTATATGCATTTCTTCTACTTTCTTCTCTTGCTTTGTGTGCTACATGGAGTGTAACG